AAGGAGCTCAACTCCACACAGTCTCGCATGGTGGCAGAAGTCGGACCTTCAAAGGAGAAGGTGAAAGCTGAGAGGGAACAGGTGAGACAACAACTTTACGGGGGGGGGGATGGCGAGACTGACTGGTTGCGGCAGCTCGTCAGTCTGGTGAAGCTGCAGGCGAGGGAGATGGAGGCACTCAAAGCAGAGATCAACATGTTGCGACGGAAAGGCGGTCACGTCTACACGCCTGATGTGCGGCGGTGATGATGATGATGATGAGGAGGAGGAGGAGGAGGAGGAGGAGGAGGAGGAAAAGGAGGAGGAGGAGGAGGATACTGATGATGATGATGATGATGATGATGATGAGGTGGTGGTGGTGGTGGTTGAGGAGGAGGAGGATGTGGATGGAGAGGAGGAGGAGCAGGAGGGAGGAGGGGGAGCAGGTTCAGGAGGGGGAGCAGGAGCAGGAGCAGGAGCAGGAGCAGGAGCAGGTTCAGGAGGGGGAGCAGGAGCAGGAGTGGGATCACAAGGAGGAGGAGAAAGGCGAGGAGGAGGAGCGGGAGCAGGAGGAGGACAGGGACGAGGACGAGAAGGATTATTACAAGGTTGAATTTAGTATCCGTGGGAGAAAAAGACAATGAAGAATGAAGAGACCAGTGGAGAGAACGATTATGGTCTCGAGCATCCTTCTGAGAATTCCACATGCAGGCAAGTAGAAAGGAGTGCAGGCTGGGACAACACCATGGCGTTCGCTGGTGAAGACGAGCATGCTGAACTAAGAAAGAAGATCAAAGAATCATTCCAGGTGCCTGTCCGCCATAATGTCGAGCTGGCTGCTGTATGTGACTCGTCACAGGTGTTTGACAGGGAGGGGAGGGGGGCATGCGACGTCCGCGAGGTGGGGACCATCATCCGTTCCCTCAACATCTTTCCCACAGAGAAGCAGCTGCAGAGGTGGATCCACGAGATCGAGGAGGAGGAGCCGACGGGATTCATCGTCTTCGACAAGTTCGAGGCACTCGCCGTCCGGCTCCTTACGGAGGAGGCCATGAGTCACAAGCGCAACACCGAGGACGAAATCCTCATGGCGTTTCAGGCGCTGGACGTCGACAAGAAGGGGTACCTTGAAGCCGACGAGCTCGAGCGGCTCATCACGTCCTATGGCGAGAAGTTCTCAGAAGAGGAGGTGAGAACCAGTCATAGAGCCGGCAGACATCTCGCCGTTGACGCGTTCGACAGGTCAAGGAGATGATAATAGCTGCCGTTGACCCGGAGACGAACAAGGTGTATTACGAAGACTATGCAGAGATGCTTGCATCTGAATGAGATTGTTTTGATGAATGTGCGGCATAAAAGCGGGGGATCCCGACCAGTTTCGACCTCCTCACTTCACAGATACACCAACATTAGAAGTTGTCCTTAGCCTTGCGAATGGCAGCGAAGACTTCGACGTCCTTAGCGTCAGGCGACAGCTTTAATGACTGCGAGCACAAGAGTCAGCCCCATGCCTTCCGCAACCTCCACTCCAACATTTCGTATCTCAGGGCTGCTCGTTCTGAGGAAGGGATTGGTAGCCTTTTCCTCTGAGAGGAGCGAAGGCACCGTGGGGTTGCCGACCTCCCTCAATTTTTTGATCTGGAAAGAAGCTTATAAGAAGCAAGGAGGGCAGTCCGGGAAGGCTGCAACGGGGAGAAAGCGAGGAGACAAACCTGCTCGAATCGCTTCTGCAGCATCGGGTTGCCGGGCTCCACTGATAAGGCAAACTTCGCGTTGCTCATGGTGTACTCGTGGGCACAGTACAAGACCTGAGAGGATACAAGTATTCAAACGCAAGTCCATCCTTCGCTCAATTACCGTGTCATCGGGTAGACTTGCAAGGCGTTGAAGGGAGTCGTACATCTGACACGCCATTGTCACACAAGTGCTGTTGGCGTAAGAGAAAAGGAGGAAACACCTGCGGGAATGTACCTTCGAAGAGCCTGCCACATCCGAGAGCGAACAAGGAGTCTCCAACGAACGCACAGCTGATCCAAGGAAGACAACAACGTCAGGCAAACAATCATACCAACGTGTTGGAGAGAGAGAGAGAGAGAGGGAGGAGGAGGAAGATAGAGATAGAGATAGATAGATATAGATAGATATAGAGATAGAGATAGAGATAGAGGGAGGGGGGAGGGAGGGCCAGAGAGAGAGAGAGAGAGAGAGAGAGAGAGAGAGAGAGAGAGAGAGAGAGAGAGAGAGAGAGAGAGAGATGGAGCGATTAAGCGAGCGAGCGAGCGACATACTCGATGCATGTCTTTCTCGCTTCCTACTACTAAGGGGTTGTTATAATATTTTCTAGGAGCCTAACAACGGATGATGCGTCACTGTGGGTACAGTTCTTACAGCTATCGACTTAACACGCCAGCAGCACACACTGATCCATATAAGTCTTGTCTCGTCAGA